CGTGAAATTCCGCAGGACAGCCGAACGCTGGTCGCGTCGAAAAAAATGGAAAGCGAACAACCCCGCGCAGAAGGAAAAGGCGGTAAAGCTCCTATCTGCGTAGCCCCGGCTGGTGCATCAAACAGATACCGAGAGGTGTACACTGGCGCGCCCAGAAAAACTAGATGCAATGAGAAAAAACATGCAATAAAGCATACGCGGGATGACTCCAAGAACGATCAAATTGGACATACCTCTCTTTCCCGAACTCAAAAAAGAAGGATCTGGACAGCGCAGCCTTGAAGGTCCTATAGCGCACGATTCTGGGAGGGGGAGGGGGAGGAAGGGGGTTAAAATCGCCGACGAAGCAGAACAAAAAATAAACTTGAGTACAGACAATGTCCCCCCTATTCTATGCGTAATAAGCGTTACTGTGAAATAGAGAGGGAGGTTTCGCAACTCGAATCCAAACCCGCAATCCCTACTATCACAAGCCTTACACCCTCTCGAATGCACTACTTTGCATATGTAGGACATGCCTCGGTCCAATACATGGGCGGTGCGTCTTTCTCTCACCGTTGCTGCGCCAGGGTTGCCTCTTCCTGGGTAGCGACAACGCCTCCACACTCCGGACACAAGAAGTCACTCCTCCAACCCCACAACTCCTCCTCTTCTGGTGCTGCCGCCGCCGCCGCCGCCGCCGCTGTCAATCCAATCACCGGACCCACATCCATCGCCGCAACCCCCGTTGCCGCCGCTTCCGCCACCACCGGTAACGACGCCCCCGCCACGGCGACGACTTTCATGCCCGTGATCGAGGCCGCCACCGCTACCGCGGTTGTGATCGCCGTCAACCTCTTGCCGACGGCATCCGCTTCTCCAATCTCGAGAACGACGCCCGACTCCTCGCCGACACCAGCGGGCGGCAGGTTGCGGACGTTGCCCTCGCTGCCGCTGGAGTCGTCGTCGTCGTCCTCGTCGTCTTCCGCCTCGCCGGCAAGACGCTCGGTCGCTAGAGCCGCAGTAGTCCCACGCATCTCCGTTCCGCCGTCATCACCACCGCCGCCTTCCGAACGAGAGTCTCGGCCCGCCTTCGGCGGCTCCCCCCCGGCGCGAGTCTCGAGGCACATCATGTGGTAAGAGTTACCCCGGCACTTGTCCGACTTGCACCGCCACCGCTGGTGCTCCACCTCCTTCCGAGCCAGAAACTCCAGCCCCCCACCCCCGCATTCAGCCGCGGAGCCCCCGGCAGCCCCGGCTCGCGAGACGGTGGCCGTGCTAGCATCGGTGCCGCTGCCGAGGAGGCAAGCAGGGTGGTCGCAGAGGTCCGGCGGGGGAGAAACGGCGTCGGAGGCAGCGTGGGCTGAGCGTTTCCTTGACGATGCCCCCCCCGTGTTCCCGCTCCCACTCCCGCCGTTGCTGAACCTCCCGCCCCTCTTCCGTTTCCCTGACGGCCTGCCTTTCCCACGAGAACCTGTTCGGGGACCAGTGGGGCCGTTTTGGTCCGACCGGCCTTGAAAACAAAAAGGGGAGGGGAGGGAGGGGGGGGGGAGCGCAAAACCTAAAGGGAGGTGACAT